CCTTCCTTCCTTCCTTCCTTCCTTCCTTCCTTCCTTCCTTCCTTCCTCCCTCCCTCCCTCCCTCCCTCCCTTTTTACAGGGCCTTTGAAGTTTGAATATCCACTAAACAAATAGCTATAGATTGAGGACTACCTGTGGATCTGAGAAGACAGAACTGAACCCAAGAATCTGAGAAAGTTCTATCATTGTCTTAATGTTACTGCAGGCTACTGTTGGGAGAAAGCAGGTCAACATACAGGGCAGCCCAAGACATCCAACTCTAACGCCCCAAGAGGTGTTTGTTTAAACAATAACTTAATAAGGTGCTCCTTTTCAGAAATTGGAGCATGCCTGATGATTCTGAAGTGGAGCTGGAGGAGATTATGGAGCACCCATGAGGAATTCTTGATGGCCAATTACAAACAAGGACATGCAAGATTCTTATTTACTGAAAAGCCTCACTAGGATGCTAAGTGGATGCTTGCATAAATTAAGGTATTATTTTCAGGAATAGATGAGTGTGTATATGTCACTCATGATGTTAGGGCAGTGGAAATGGAGAAGGTGAGAAGGATACTCTTCATTGTCTCTGGTCCACAAGATGAATTCTTCCAGATCTTCATGATGTTCATGAAGCTGTATTTTGAACCCTGCTTGTCTGTTTCTGGCCCTTCCTCATTGATTTAAATAGAACTAGCATGAGAGTTTTCAATTATATTCTGGAAATAAAATAGATGAGGGTTAACGTTGAAAGTCTGAAAAGATAATACCTGAAGGAGAATTTCAAAGCCTGAGATGATAAACTTCTACTAAATCTTTGGTTGTCACGGAGAAGCCTGTTGGCATCTTGGTGCTGAGGGTGCCATTCTCTCATTCTTGATATTTAGTAGCTGGTTTCTTATTCTCTTCATGTCTTTTAATTGAAAGCTAAATTGCTTATATTCATGCATCCTGCTTAATAAAACTTGCCTGGTGGATATTTTCACCTCTCTGGCTAATTCTACTTATGTATTCCTGCTGTCAAGAAGTAGTTATTTTTCAAAGCAGGTAGCAGGCCTGCTGGCAGCCTCATAATGAAAATAATTTTTGTAAGAGAAAATGAAGGAGGAGGAGGAGGAGAAGGAGAAGGGAGAAGAAGAGGAGGAGGCGGAGGAGGAAGAAGAAGAGAAGAAGAAGAAGAACAAGAAAAAGAAAGTAGTGTGACACATAAATAGCTTTTCACTCCCTAACCTGGTTAGACAGGTATATTTTTGGGTGTGGAGCACCTTCTATAATTAAGCAGGATTCCTTGATGCCTTTTGTAACATCTCTTTGCCTGTCTTCTCTCTGGCTCTACCTGTATAATCTAGGTGTTTCCCTTCTCCTCCCCATTTTCCAGGTGTGGCATTTAGGTAATGCTTTCCCTCTCTTCTTTTTTTCATTCCTCGCTGGGATCAAGGCCTGAGAACTTGGCTGTTTCTGTAAAGAAAGGAGCATATTAGCCTGCAATTTGATTCAATCCTTCACGGAGCGTGGCTGCAAAGAAGAGGCCAGAAAGCCAACGCAGGGGGATAAAGGACCACGAGATGGAAACGGCAAGGACCAACGGGACCACCGGCAAGCAAGAGGAAACCAAGGCCCCCCCTTCACCCAAGAAAGAGACAGAAGAAGGGAAGAAATCCAGCAGCCCAAAGAAAGCTGAGAAAGAAGCCAACAAAAACAATGTGGCGCCAAACCTAGAGACAACCCAACTCAAGAATTCTGTGTATGCCGGAGGTGACTGGAAGAGACCGATCATCCAATTTGTGGAGTCGTCTGATGAGAAGAGGTCAACCTACTTCAATATGGAGGTTGGGGAGTCCAAAAAGTCAGGTTTTCCTGCTGGAGGAGAAACTCGGAGGTCCCAGGTCACTTTTCCAGAGCGCGGAGATTTGAGGAAGCCCCTGTTTAACGTAGAGGCCAAGAAATCTTTTGGCAATGAAGGAGAAGGGAAGAAGTCAATGTTTTCCAGTGGGCAGATCTCAGATCTAAGAAAACCCATTATCACCTTAGGGGAAACTGGAGAGACCAAAAGGACCAACTTCAACCGGGCCAGTAGAGTACCTTCTGGAAGACCCCGGGTGGTTCTGGAAGAGGTCCTTTGTGACTCTTGCATTGACAACAAGCAGAAGGCCGTGAAGTCCTGCCTGGTGTGTCAAGCCAGCTTCTGTGAGCTTCACCTGAAGCCCCACTTTGAAGGGGCTGCTTTTCGAGATCACCAGCTTCTGGATCCCATCAAAGACTTTGAAGCCAGGAAATGCCCCATTCATGGCAAGACCATGGAGCTTTTCTGCCAGACCGACCAAGTCTGCATCTGTTACCTTTGCATGTTCCAAGAACACAAGAACCATACCACCGTGACGGTAGAGATAGAGAAATCCGGAAAGGAGGTATTGTAATTTTATTTTAATTTTTTTGGCATATTGTTGAACCCTTACTCTTTCTTTCCTCACCGGGATTTTTGCAAGGAAACATTTTCACCCAAATGGGACCAAATAACCTAGATTGAATGCTAAGTGGTATTTAGCTAATTAGGTTTTCTGTCTCTGGGCTATACGAAGAGTTAATTGACCTGGCCATATCCATCATTGAATTGCTCAAGGTGTGCTGATTTGTACCCCTGCATGGCTGCATTGCTTGCATTTAAAAGTATTTTCATTTGGCATGGGCAGAATCTGATAGACTAACTTTAGGAATGAAAAATAAGGGGGATTCAGAATATTACGACACTTGGAACAAGTTTTATCTGTGGCTGCAAAAAAGAGGGGAAGGTCAGGACAAAAACAGCTAGGAGGATTGGAAGCAAAATGTAAATATTGTACAAATAATAGAAATTCTTAGCACAAAGATTCTAACCTGAAGTTATGAACCAAAAGTTGAGATGGAGGGAGATGGGGTGGATTTTAGACAGCACTGAGTTTCTTAAAACTGGACCTCTTTGGAAAGATACCAGCAATGCTGGGGTGTGTTTATAAAGAAGTTGCTGGGGAAAAAAAAATCAACATCTGCCTTGGCTTGAAGAGATGAGTAGAGTTTTAGGAAGGACTGGAGCTTCCCCTGATAGACTACTGCAGAAGTGTGTGTAAAAGTCAGAATTGTATTGAGGGTTAGATCTTAGAATAGATATTCAAAAGTTGCTTTCTAAAACTTGGGTGAGGGATATTACTTCAGAAAAGTTGAGGAAAGAGAACAAGATGATCATCTCTGCTGACCATGTATTGAACTGTATGAATAGAATGAATAGAAAGTATTCTTTTCCAATATCCCATCCAATCCCAATCCTTTCCTTTCCTTTCCTTTCCTTTCCTTTCCTTTCCTTTCCTTTC